CATTGAGCTAAAATGTGGTAGTAGCTGAGGGTCATCACAACAAATAGAGTGCTAGCTTTGGCGTGCAGTATAGCGGGGAACACACATTTCATTTATTTATTAAAATCGCCGCATTTATTTTTACCAATCGGGAGAAAGCAAAATTTAAGCAGCGCTCATTTGCATAAATAAGTTTCAGCTTGTTTTTCTTCTCATTTTCTTCTCTGCTAACTTTTCCCTTGTGCGGGGTCACAGTTATAAATTGCCTGTGTTCAAAATTCTGACAAATGATTGACTTCTACAAAAAAATCAGAGATTTTTCTGCCACACAAAACATTTCTCCCAAAGTCAAAGTTCCAGCATTGCTGTCGGTGGGGGCGGGGCGGATGATTGATTTCAGTGTGAAAAATTGCTTGTAGGTAACAACATCCTCTGCTTACTTTAGTGAAAACAGATGCAGGAAGTGCCCTCTTTTAGCATTATCTGCTACATTTGATCACTTTGTCCTCTTAATTTAAAGCATGTGAGTTTCTGTTTGAGACTTGTGTTCAAAATGACAAAATCCTTCCTCAGAGAGTTCTGGAAATCCTCTTTAGCTTAAAATATCTGAGCGGAACAATGTCTGCGATCGTGTGTTTTTGTGCACATGTTTGCATGCATCTGGGTTTGTGTGTGGGGGCATGAAGAGACTGTTGGGAGGTAAAGAGAGGGGTCTGGGTTGCACATGCTTCATTTAGACATCAAAGGCCTTTGCTGATGATTTTTCCTTATAAACCGTGTCTTTTAGTGCCTCTGCTCTCTCCATCTGAATAAACAAAGAATGGCTCTCTGAGGTATTGGAGCAGTCAGGTGATTGCAGCACGTGATGTTTGAAGAGAATCGATACATCTCTTTAATTTATTCCACCAAAAAAAAATCCCTCTTAGCTGCTCTTTTATGTTGTTTCTGAGAAACATTCTAGTTTTCAAGAGATTTCAAAGTGGTATTTAGAGATGTAACACAACTCATCTGCTGCTCTTTGAAAATGAAAGCGGTACCTATCACAAAAATAATCTCAGCCCTTTTTTTATCTCAAGAAGAAAACATGTAGAATCTTTAAGTCTCTCGCTGTGAGGAGCAAACTCTGCTTGGCTTTTCTTTTTGATGGGGAGGAATCAATATTGCATGAAACGCTCTGCCTCTGTATTCCCATCTGACTATTATTCCTCCCTACCCCAAACAGCAGACATTACCCACCATCATTTAGCAAAGCCCCTGATGCGAGCCAACGTGCGACCCCCCTGCTCCTCCTGCCAATGTCCGAGCCGGACTCCCGTGCCAGAGGCCAGCTTGGCGGCCTCCCTGGCTGTAATGTATCTGCAGGAGCAGCATTCCTGTAGGGCTGGCCTGGATCAAATGACAGTGATTTCCCCAAATAGAGGCACAGAGATGGKAGGCCTGACCCATCCTCTGATCTGCTCCACGCTCTAATCACTGCAGGTCAAGATGGATAAATTGTGAGGCTGAGCTTCTTCCCACATCCAGCAGCTGAGTTGTTTCAGCACAAACATCTTATTGTGTTTCTCTCTACAGATTCTRTAGTTGTGCTATGGAATACAAATATTTTCTCTCCATGTGACTGAATATCTCAGTTTTGAATCTTGTGTCTGCATTAATAACGATCTATGAAGGTATGCAGTTAAAGCAAAAACCTGTGGCTCGAATCATCAAAACACACCACTTCTAATGAGGATGTGCTATTTAAAAATTTAAAATAAAATGCTCACGTTAAACATTTGTCATTATTGCACCTATTGTGCGATTGGTCAAAACTTTGTGGGCACGTTTATGCAAAGCAGCATAAACTGTTCTGCTAAAAGGAGCAGGTGGCTGAGGCTGTTAGAAAATACAGCTTTACAACTATTCGATCAAAATACATAAAGATTTTTAAAAAGAAACATGCTCAATGTAAAATATATTTTAAGTACCATATTTAGTTTGTTTGTTTTTTTTTACCACAAATGTTACTGTATTTAAGACTACATTTTTTAGAAAGGCAGCTGCTAATATGGTGAACCCATGCAAACGTGGGTGAAATGTGTCTAGTGATACTGATACAACAAATCAAGATATTTTAAGGAGAAATCCAGACCCTTTTTAATTTTTTTCCTCCCCTCAGTACATGCGATTTCTCCAAATATCCTCAAATACTCATGTGTAGCACGGATTCACGCAGTGGGCAGTTTAAAGCTCCGAGGCACAGGAAGCGATAAGATTCACGGTGAAAGTTAGCTAATATCTCCAAACTGACAGGAACTTTTTTTTTAGGGCATTTACAAAGTGTGACTTAAGTAAACTTGTGCTGGTTTGAATAACATCAAGAAAGCCGAGGAAAGATCGAAGGGGTGGAGGGGGACCCTGCTCTTTGATGTGCCGGATTGAGATGTGATGAGGTCTGTTCAAAGTGAGTACAAAGTAGTGTTAAGATGGAAAGAGCAAATACAGCTTTAGTCAAGGTAGAGACAGAGAGGTAGAAGGAGACGATAAAGAAATGTCCTGTCTCACACCGAATCCAGGAGAAGATGAAACGCTGTGAGGCATTAAACATGGATGCTTCTGATTTTGAAACCTGTAAATCTTTCAATCTGAGGCGAGGAATGATGGTGAGCCACTGCTGCCATCAGTGAGAGGACGTGTTTAGCTTTCAGTGCACATTGTTTTAAGGAMTGAAGGGGAACAATCAGGTGTTGTCTGCAGTTTTAATCTTTGTTTCAAAGACTTGGACGATGTCCCACATTTTGGGTGTCTCTGGTTTTCAGACATCAACACTGCAGAACAGTTGCACTTGCTAAGACTACTTGAAATGAGGACCATTTCCAGGTTAACAAGATTATTAATCTAACACATTCTGCTTTGTAYATCAGTCTCAAAACAAGTTTAAATAGACTCTTTGGCTGGATATACAGTAAGATTATAAGATCTGGGTAGATGGACATTTTTTTCAGTAGCGATGGTTGTCTTGTTTTTTTTTTTTTTCTCTTTTCCGGAAGGAAACAGTTCTATAAATCAGGAAAATGACCATTTAAACTGTCCAGATTTCAATATAAAATAAATGAAAACAATGAAAAAGAACAAAAAATAAATAAAAATAAAAAAGAACAGCAGTGTCAATATGTAACCCATTATATCAAACTGATGATTGTGTACAATTTTGTGAAAATGAATAAGMACAGCTTCAGATTTCTGTCTTTTTAAGCTCCATCACTGGAGTCATCCTGACAGGAGCTGTTTCAGAGATATTGCTTGATTTTTTAAAAAAAAAATCAGGATAACAATTAGTATTTGGTCTGAATCCTATTTTAAAACTAATTTAATGAGAAATTCCTGATGTCATTATAAAGAGGAAACCTCAAACAATATTAGATATTGAGATTTACTAGCTGGAAAGAAASATAATTTTGCTAGCGCTCAGGGAAAATGTAAAAAAATGTAACTTTTTTTGATTGTTTTCTCAAAATCACATTTTTTTTTGTCACTGCTCAAAAAAAGTGCCTCAAAGAGTCAGACAGTCCATACAAAGATATTTAATATTTGAGTTGATACTAGTTGATAATGAATCAGTTGATTCATTATTTTGTGACAAAATTTAATWATTGCAAAGGTTTTAACCAATGCACTATATCTGCATAATATTTCTCCACATGCCACTTTGGGTCTTAATCCTCAGTTTGATGTGATAGTATACATATTTGTAATAAAATGTAAAAAAAAGGCAGCAGAAACTGAAACACCTGTGATTCTATACTAACTCAAGTGTCCCCCACCAAAAAAACAGTTCAAGTTAAAAGTTTGGAAAGTTGAAGCCAAATAATAAATATATTTGTTTTTTTACAATAAGTACCTCATCTATAATGTGCATGGGTAAGTGCACTTATTTTTTAAATTAGATTGATCTGTTTTTAAGCTCCCTTTCAGAATTACTAAAATGTCCAACATGATCCAAACGTTTCAGTGAGTACAGTTATCAGAATTTGGTCACACTTCTCTTAAATTTGAACTAATTTCAGCTGTCGTGCGTAAGAAACTGTCCCTGATTGTGTATGTGTTGGCAAATGTTTAACCTCTCAAAAACATCATATCTTTAGCCAACAGCTTTTTGTTTGTAATCCAGAAACTGCTCTTTATCTTCTAAAAGACAAAACTACTGTCAGCGAGGCTCATTTAACAAGAGTCCACTGACTGCTGCAATTACACGATACATGGCTGTTTAACTCATTACTGAGACAAATGTTCAGTGTGGTTAAAGAGACGGATGTCTTCTTTTCAAATAACATGTTGATCATGTTATCCAGTAAGACTTTGCTATGACTTCACAATGAATTAATGATAAGCAGAGTTGCTGATGGAGATAGTGTACATTAAATCAGATTGTTTTCATTTGGGACAATTTTCCAGTTTTTTTTTTTCATTTAGTTATTGAAAAGTGTCCAATTGCTAATAAAAATCCGTTTTCTGCTTAAGCGATATTTGCACCTGTAACTACTATATTTTAAAATCTGTTTCTAAAAGTTTGAATTGACTCAAACTTTAAAAAATAAAAAATTGTGATTTTTTTTTTTGCCAAGATGCTTAGAGCTGTTATGTGTGCATGTTGTGTTTGGCACTTAAGTCTTTTTCTCTCTCTCTCTAAATCTACATGTCTGGTTTTTGGTTGTGAAAGTATCTGATTAGCTTCTACAGAGTTTGAAACATCAACAAATCTTGCTGTGCACCTGTTAGCAGAGATATGAGTAAATGGGATTTATCTGTGTAGATTTATGTCATCTTAAGTTGTTATTGAGTCATCTCATCAATACAATTATTTAATCGTATTTATGTGAAAATGTTTCCCTAACTTTCTTTTTATTTCCCCYGGCGTGCAGATTAAAAGAATCGAGGGCAGAATCTGTTTACTGCCGCTGTCGTCATTGTCGGGCCTCATGCTGGTGCTGCTTGTTGTTTTGCCTGCTTGGATCACTGCCCTGGTTTTCCCTCTGTTGCAGGTCCAGTGATGAAGCTGCAGCAGAGAACTTCTCGCCGCCGTGGCCAGCAGCCCAAGCTCCTGAACAGCCCCGAAGACAGCCTGTACTACAACCAGCTAAATGTGAGTTCAAAGTGCCGATAAAGGCCTTTGTCTGAGTTTGGTTCCACATGATAATACAATTAAACCTACCTGTGCCAGACCCTGGAGCCCCACCCCCACGCTCCTCTGCCTCTTGTCTTGAACATGTGCTTATGCTCTTTATCTGTTGCTTTCATGTCAGGATGTCTGCCTTCACGGTGAATAATTGATGTGGTTTATCAAAGCCGAGCAAGATGCATGCTTCATCAGACTCACTTGAGCCCTTTGATCAGAAAAAAATTATGCTGTGACTTCTGATATTATCAGCATCTGCTCGCATTCAACACAAAATCACTTTGAATTAAAAATTAATGACTCTCTGCTCATCTTTTGACTGTGTGCTCTTGGCCCTTTCCTCAGAGAACTCTGGATTACCAGGGGAGCAAGAGGAAGCCGAGAAAACTTGGGTAAATAACTGCTTTCCTACTTACAGCAACTCTAAACAGAGCAGGCCCTTTGTGGAATGGGAAAATCCAGAAATGGAGTTGTTTTCCTGTGATGTAAATGGAGAGCTGAAAATATCAAGAAGAAGCTCTGTGTCATTAGAGGACGGGTGCATATTAGGCCTTTATCAGCATGCTAATTTTAATTGTTGAAGGCCTGAAATTGTGTTTTTGTGCCACATCATTGTGCTTAATAAACTATCACCACTGCATGTAAAAATATATTTTTTTCCTCAAAATGTGTCTTTTTTGTTTCCCCGTGAAAACCTCAYCACTGCTTCTCCATCCCAGCAACTTGTCTTCTCTCACATCACAGTCAAATCAAAGTGCTGGACGGAGAGGATGAGTACTACAAATTACTGGCAGCTGTGGAGTCCATCCCCGAGGAAGAGCACCCGGCCTCCGCCGCCACCCCTCCTCCCACCCTTTCCACTGAGCCCCTCGTCAGTCAGAGCTGAGCTTCACGTCCACGTCGGCCCGGTAAGACAGACACATCAGAGACAGACACTCCAAAGAGCGTCCTCGGTGTTGGAAGTGCTGCGGTATGTGGAGCGAGTAGAAGCGCTGCAGGATAAGCAACTTGTGCAGACAATGCTCTCATCTCAGAACATTTTAAATCAGCAAAGGTGTAATTTTTTTTTCTTGTTAGTGTTGAGCCAGCTTTTAAAACAGTTCATTGAAACTTTTAAAATTAATTTTTAAAGTGTCTCACTTTTTTTGTCCACACAATCTAACCCTTTGATTTGCTTTTATTGAGGCTTTGCAGTATGTACAAATACACCCATTAGTTTTTTTTTTATTAAGGATGTCCAGCTCAGTCATATGAAGGGCCAAAATCATGGCCAGTTTTTAATGTCAATACTTACTGAAAAACATTAGGAGTGTAAGAAAATATCGATACACTGAAATGTTGCAACATTTCATTTCCTGGCTTAAAATGTAAACTTTCATGCCAGCAGTTCATTACTGTGTTATAATTTAGCCTCTGGCCGCTAGTTAGCAGCAGTCAGCCGGCCATTTGGCTCCTATGCTTCTAAAGATCCAGAGAGTATAAAGCTAACTCAAAYGTTAGCATTATAAGTAAACGTAACCACTCATGTATTTGGAAAATCCCTTCTTGCCTTGACAAGGAATACTTTAAGTACACTGGTTGGAGTCCTAACTGGGCACAATCTGCTCAACCACCATCAAATGGTGATGGGACTCCAGGACAATGGTCTGTGTGATGCCTGCGGCATTGAATCAGAGACCTTTTTGCACTACTTAGGCCATTGGCTCTGAGTAGTCTAAGGGAAAGAATTCTTGGAGACCCCTTTGTGGAYCCCGAGAAGCTTAGAACACTGAGGGTTTCTAACCTGGTGTCCTTCATCCGAGGGACAAAAAAGGTTTGATTAAAGCCCAGTATCTTTTGGGGAGAGCAATGGGCCCACTTATGAGGCCCCTGCTCACCTGGGTTGTACCCATCCCCARTTACCAATACCAATACCAAACGTAACCACTAAGAGTCGATGGCTGAATCTGAGTGGATTAGGTTGACACTCGCTGCCTTCAAAGCTGAGGTAGTGTTGCCAACTGTCCCCTATTAGCTGAGATGTCCCACATTTTAAGCCAAATTGAGGTGTCCTGTAAGGAACGCTCTAATCCATTTGCTGAACTTTAGCACAAGATACAGATCCTGTTGGCTATTAATGTGGTGAGTGACCCTATTATATWCTAAGTTAATATTAGGGATGTCCAATAATATCRGCCTMCAAATATTATCGGTCCGATATTAGCATAAAAATGTAAAATCTCTACATATCGTATCGTTTTTTTTTCTGATAACAAAATCCCGATTAAATTAATGCCTGGATTCGACCAAAATGTGTTATTAAATCCTTGTGGTCCAGAAACATTCACCAATGCATGATTGATGACATCATCAGACTGAATTATCTCMGGGAGAGCATGATCCAAACTATCGTTTGAGACAAAATGTAAAAAAAAAAAAACAAGGCACTTTTTCCATATCTTCAATAAAATGTTTTTTTTTTGTTGTTGTTGTTGTTTTGTAAAGACAATATTTAGCTATGGAATGCATCCAGTGGGGTAAAAGCAGGTATAATGTCCCTGACAGGAGATATATAATATTACCCTAATATCAGTTTGTAATATTGGGCAATGTTGGAATCGGAAAGTAAGTGTTGAACAATATCGGCATATCGAATATCGACAAAAAGTCAATATCGAGCATCTGTAGTTATTAATATAAATCTAAAAGAGGCCACAAATTTATAATGAAACAATTTAATGACCTATTTCACCTAACCATTGGAAACATGGATGAAATAAGAAATATGTAACTTATGAAATGCATATAAAACACATTGAGATTTTTAAAATGTGAATTTTTGGAGAGAAACTGGCAACACACTACAATATATCACCTTGCTTACAGTATTGCAATATATTGCAATGTATTGCGACATATCGTATCATGACCCCTGTGTCATAATATGTATCCTATCACCAAATACTTTCCAATACACAGCTGTAAAAAACAGAAACTGGCTTTGGTTTTCAGAYGKAATATGTCACATAGACATATAACATGTAGACATAACTTATCAAACACATCAGTAGCATTCCTCACTCACTATCATTACTTTTTCATTTAACACTTCTTTGTAATAAACAGTATCATAAGCCATTGAAAATATCCCTCAAAAATAAAACAAATGCAGACATACAGTACAAGAATTTAATTTGACATAGGAAAATTCAATATTTATACTGTATGCATTTCAGCAGACTCTATTGGTCTGTTCAGCTCAAGTCAGATACCTGACAGCTTTTCTTGGCTGAACCTGTATCAGAGAGAGTGTGATCAGTTTCATTTCAGTGTTTTCTGTTGCTTTTTCCATGTACAAAACAAAAATTACTGAAAAATTCAAATTTAACGTTCTGTTCTTCAAGGTTTACCACGTGTAAAGTGTTGGCAGCAAAATGAAAACTGTGGAGATCGGATCTGTCACAAATTGGCAGGCTAGTTCTAATCCATTTAAATTATTTTTGCATGGGCCACGTAAAGATGTAAAAACGTCCGTATCTGGCCCTTGGGCCTTGAGTTTGATACATGTGCAGCTGACAAAAGATAGCATCCTCATGTGCAATAGCTGAAATGAACTGTTGTTGTCTTTCTGTATTTTTATTAGAACTTTTTGACATTTGAGAAAGAACTTTCAWCTGTTTGATCGACTTAGTAAATTAATTTATTGTTTGTTTTTGCTGTGAACGGAAGCTTTAAAGCTGGGTTCACACTGAATGTGTTTTGAGCTGCAGGAGCGGACAGTTTACATGCAAAGTCTATGRTGGACACACGTCTAGGAGTCTTGCWGTGCGTCTAGAGCATTTACCGCAGCACGCAATGAAGTAGCTACGGTTTGAGCATTTGACRTGCATGTTGTGCATCCAAAGCAGCCGATGCTGGAGTTCAAAAATCGGAACTTTCCCTGCTTGACGCGCCACCTCAACCAACCAGAGAGCATAATTTTTCCACGTGACAGTTTCCTGAATGTTGCCCACTGACCTGGAACAGAMGGACAGGAGCTCTTTAGCTGAAATAAATCACAAGCATTCATTTTTTTCCTGACGCATTGATTAAGCCATCATTCCTGCTCTGCTCCACCTTTACAATAAGAAACCCCTCATTTTGCAGGCAGAAAACCTCTACCCTCAGCCGTGTTAACCTGAAACTAAAACATCTACCCATTTCCGAGCATTATGTCTCCTGTCTAAGACGGATCTGAAGACAAATCCTTGTGAAACCCAGAACTCTTTCAACAAGTTTTCCCGCTGTGGCTCGCCTCAAGTTAGAGGGGCTTTGTGCTGTCTGAGAGCCAGAATCACCAAACAGAGCTTCACAGAGGCTGAGCTTTAGACCGCACTTTGAGTTTCACCCTAAATACAGAAATCTTCTTTTAAGATGTGAAAGTGTYGGAAACGCAGGGCTGGCGAGTTGATTTGTGGAGCTCTCTTTTTTTTTCCTTCTTCTTCTTTTCAATTTGCATATCATTTACTGCATCTCCCTTTGTTGACACCSGAGGGCCTGAGAGGAGATTTTGATCTTAATAGGAAGAGTAGGGTGGTATGAGTGAGGATCTCAGCCTCCTTATGCTCAGCGGGAAAAACATTAGAGCTCTGCCTCTATAGCGAGACAGACTTCACTTAGGTTAGAGTCACAGGAATCCTGGTGGGTTTAAAGAGGCCCAAAGTGTTCATCAAATCCAGGAGTTCGGTGCTGTCAGGGTCGGACTCAGGTTGAGACTTTCCTGGCTATTTGTGTCTGTTTTTTCTATTTTTGTCAGGTTAAGTGCAATGTTTTAGGAAGATAAAGTGGTTTTTTTATAAGCAAAGATTTAAACGGTAGATGGTTGTGACTCCACCAGTTTTGTGGTTTTAACCCGATAATTTTCCAGCCATAAGTTTTGCTGTTTGTTGTTTTGAGAAGCCATAATTATCACAGAGGTAATTCAGGAAGTTAGAAACTGTGTTACACATGTCCCATAATTAAAACAAATTCCACCCATTAGTGGAAAAAATAAGGTATTAAAATTAAGTAAAAGTACTTCAGATAAAAAGAATAGAGCAGCAGGAGTTTGTCTTACAGAAAACTAGTTTTTACATAATTACACTTTATTATAGATGCAATATTCTGTATTGAAGAAATGTTTCTGCATCAGAATCAAGTTGAAGAAAATTCATTTTTCTTTGTTGCTCTTAGTTAAAAGTGTAGTTCATATCYATTGAAGTGGAGTTCTGTAAAAGGTTATGAATAATAATTATCTTACCTGTTGTAGATAGCTCAGTTTGGAGAAAATGTTTAATTCTGACCAGATTAGTTATTTACATAGTATTCTGTTTAATTTTAGAATAATATTAACTTATTTCTGCCATGATAATATTGTGATTCAGTACTGACCAAGATGTTGAATAGATGTAACAAAGTGACAGCCAATGAAATTGAARCATTTCTTACCCTGAGATGAGGATGATGAGGATGCATAGCATTTCTCATTCAAGATGATCAGCATCCAAATGAGTCTTCACTGAACATGAAACATGGGGTGGATGTGGAAGAGTGTTGGGGGAGTTATTCTGTAACCAGTGGGCTGCTGGTTCGACCCTCGTTTCAACTGTTGTGTCTTTGACCCACCTTGGTGGTGGCATAACAGTAGAGCAATTTTATTCTCTGAAGTCCTTAATTATTAAATATTTTAGCAGAGTTTATGAGAAAATGGTATTTTTTTATGTAACAGAGCACTTTTACAGTGAGGATTCAGTGCTCTTGCRTTCGAAACAGCAGAAATGTGCTTGAATCACTCAAATTAAGTGATTTAACTTATAGGTAACAAAGACAATATTTATCAGGTTGAAATGAATTCAAACAAGAAACTGCCAAAAACATTATTTTTTTTTATTTTGCATGAAGGTGATGAAAA